TTCCGGCATATAAGATGACTTTCTAGGCATGTGACTCGGCGCCGAAGATGGGGATCGTCTTATACTCCGGGTCGCCTTATACGCCGGAATATATGGTACATAAAATTATTTTTTTTCCCAAAAAAGAGATTTTCAAGAAAGTCACAAGTATTTTTCAACATTAAACAACTTACAAATGTTGCCTGTTTTATAAATTGTAAAACAAGCTTACAAAAATTAAAATCAACACAATACAGGTAGTCTTCGACTTACAACAGTTCATTTAGTGAGCTTTCAAAGTTACAAAGGCACTGAAAAATGTGACTTATTACCGTTTTTCACAGTTACGACCTTTGTAGCATCCTCATGATCACACAATCAAATTTCGGACACTTGGCCTCTGGTTCATATTTATCAGATTCACTTAACAACCAAGTTACTAATGCTAACATTGGATGTTCTTGCTTTGACAACATATGGAGATGCAGCCATTTTCCTTCTTATGTTTTACTCTTAAAAGTTAGAATTAGATGATACTGGGGGGGGGGAGGAGAAATGTGTATGGGAGTTAGTTAGACATAACAATATTGTAGTGGTTGTGAGAATCAAGGTTTTTTAAAATAAGAGATAATAAGAAATGGTGGGTTGGAGAACTGGAGGGAAAGCCTGCATTTCAAACTAATTGGAGAATGTGATTTATGACTGTTAGCCAGAGGAGGGAATTGAGCTTGATACTATGTGTTCAGGGGAGGGGAATTTAGATTTTGGCTTCACCTATGTACGTGCCGATGCTATGCTGCTCGAATAAATATTCTTTAAGGAAAACAATGCCTCGGAGTTCTTTGAAGAGTTACATCTGACAGAATCATAACAACTAATTTATCAACTGCAGTGATTCACTTAACAACTGTGGCAAGAAATGTCATTAAATGGGGCAAAAATTGCTTAACAAATATCTCAATTTTGGGCTCCATTGTGTTGGTAAGTTGAGGACTATCTGTAAAATGTCACCACTTCTTTGCCATTCATTCTAATTTCAATGACACTGATCAGAAATTGTAAGGAAGCTTTGAAAATGTTTGCTGCGTTATCCAGCATATTTGAAATGACACTGCCTAAGATATTTTATGAGCGAAAGGATTAGGCTACGTTGATCTTACACAAGAAAGATCAGTTGAACTGATCAATTTTGACAAGGATACAGTTCTCCTTAGAGATAAAGCTAATCTTAAAATCTTTTGCAAACAAGCAAAAAAGTGTTATTTTTCAGAAGAGAATACAGGCTGTGCAATCTTGTACAAGTTTTGCGTAACTGGTTGACACAAATTTACAGTTATGCTTTAGTAGGGATTTCAATGATTAATAGGTATAACTGCTTCACAGTTTAAAAAAATCATTTACTTTAAGAAAAGATGCAGGATCACTTATTGATTTCTCTCTAAAATCGATGATACAGTAATCAACGTTTTATTGATAATTTTAAGAAAAATGTCACTAGATGCTTACTGAGAAACAAAAGGGGGTTGCATGACTTGATCTTAAAATATCTAATGGTCTCAATTTCTTCTTTAGGGCTATCACTTTTTCTTTTTTAATACAAATGAATTTAGTGACTAAGACATATGCTTCCAGGGATCTTGAGTTTGCAGACAGCGGGTTTTCAACTGAAAACATCTGGGTATATCCCAAGGCTATATAACATTCCTGGAGAGCTTCCAGACTCCAATGCTAACAACAGCTTGTATGTTTGAGAGAGTGCATGTGTGTTGGGAAGCAGTGTTACTTTATTCAGTGGAAGATAAAAATGGATTCCTGAAGCAAGAGCCTGTTTTTTTTTAAGTTATACTAATGCACTCTGATTTATTTCTCTAGAGAATGTGTTTTAAATAAAAACCAGAGGAGGATATTGCACATTTATGAAATTCACACAATTTCCCTTAAGTATTGAATATTCTTGTCCCAAAGATGTTTTTTCAAGAGGCAATTGGACTTTCTTGTTTTTCTTTGAAGACCCTTCACTTCTCATCCAAGAAGCTCCCTCAGCTCTGCCTGAATGGTGAGGAATGGAAGGATTTATACTCCTTGCAGACAGCTTGGTCATTTGCATTCTTTTGGAGAGTCGTTGAAGCCACTTGGGGGTTTGTCCACATCCTTTTGCATCACTCAGGTGACCCTGAGAACACAGACAAATTCCCAGGTGGCCTCAACTCTCTAAAAGAAGGCAAATGACCAGCGGTCTGCAAGGAGTAGAAATCCTTCCATTCCCCACCATCCAGTCAGAGCTGAAGAAGCTTCTTGGATGAGAGGCGAAACATCTTCAAAGAAAAAACAAGAAAGTCCAGTTGCCCCGTGAAAAAGCACCTTTGGGACAACCGTGACCTGGATGACTGAGAATCTCCTTAGATATTGAATATTCCTGGTAGGCAAGCCAATGCTTGTGCTTTATATCCTTACTCTCTTTTTGTCCCAATAAGGAATCATTCCCTGATTAGTGAAACAAACTAGGAAATTAGTGTGTCAATAACCAAATGTACAAGTATAGTATAGGAGGTACCTTCCTCAATAGTAGTAACTGTGAGAGAGAACTCGGAGTCCTAGTGGACAATCACTTAAATATGAGCCAGCAGTGTGCTGCAGCTGCCAAAAAAGCCAACACAGTGCTGGGCTGCATTAACAGAGGGATAGAATCAAGATCACGTGAAGTATTAATACCACTCGTCAATGCCTTGGTAAGGCCACACTTGGAATACTGCATCCAGTTTTGATCACCACGATGTAAAAAAAGATGTTGAGACTCTAGAAAAAGTCCAAAGAAGAGCAACAAAGATGATTAGGGGACTGGAGGCTAAAGCATATAAGGAACGGTTGCTGGAACTGAGGATGTCTAGTTTAATGAAGAGAAGGACGAGGAGTAGAGCCAAGGTTGCCTACCCCTGGACTAGACATTTCTATAACAACAAACCTATCTAATCAGCAAAACCCAAAGTCAGTGTCATGTTTTTCCACCTCAAGCACAAAGTCCAAAAGCAGTTTCCATATGGTGGTGGTAAATGTCTTTAGTTCACTGCTTGAAAATGTCACTTGGCTTGCTGTATTTTCATATCTAAAATTTCTTATTGTCTACAGCAGGGGTAGGTAACCTTGGCTCTTTTATGACTCGTGGGCTTCCTGAGCCAGCATGGCTCAGCTTGGAAACCTCTCCCTTTCCCCTCAGCATGGCTGGCTCAGGAATTCTGGGAGTTGAAGTCCACGAGTCATAAAAGAGCCAAGGTTGCCTACCCCTGCTCTAGGTGCTCCTCTCCATTTCTTGGCCAACGGAGCTAACGTTGTCCAAAGACTATTTCCATGGTCATATGATCAGCATGGCTATGCACCAAAGGCGCACAGAAGGCTGTGACCTTCCCGCTGAAGTGGTACCTCTTAATCTACTTGCATTTGAATGCTTTCGAACTGGTAGGTGAGCAGGATCTGGGGGCAAGGAACCGGAACTCCCCCGTTGCGCGGAGCATGGATCGCGAACCTGGGCTATCAACTCTCAAGCTGACAAGCTCAGTGTCTTTAACCGTTGAGCCATTGTGCCCACTCAATTTTGCTACCATCCTATTATTTCATAGCTACTTAATTAGTAGCTTCCAACACTGCATTGGCTGGTTATTGAGTTCAGGGTTATAAACAGTACTTAATTAGTAGCTTCCAACACTGCATTGGCTGGTTATTGAGTTCAGGGTTATAAACAGTTCTGTCTAAAGAAGAAAGGCATTTTAAAATAGTTTTTCAAACAAACCCAGTCTGCTTGTACCTAATTTCTCCTTGAAGAACATTTCAGCAGTAATTCTAGCTACAATTAGAAATATGACAATATTCCTGCCTTATTTGTTACCGTGTCTGATTGCCCTAAAAGTTCAATATCTTTCAAATCCCAATTATCCCAGCCAGTCTGAACAGACACTTGTTCTCACAAATTCATATCATCCTCATCTCATCTAATATTTGCATTTGGCTGAGCTTGCTCTTAATGCAACCCTTCCCTTTGAATAAAGAAAAGCAAAAAGCATCACAGAGAGCATGGTTTCAGAACTCAGTGCACCTATGAACTACCGTTATGCATCAGACAACTGGAGCATCTAACTCAGTGGTTCTCAACCTTTTTAATGCCGCGACCCCCAACCGGTCGTAAGTCGAGGACTACTCAACTGGTGCAGCACCGTTTGCAGAATGGGACTTTTGGCGGGCTCAGCAGGGCAGAGACAGCTTGGACAATTCCTATTGGCTTTTGAAAGCCAATAGAATTAGACTCTATTCAAGAGAGTCTATTCTATTGGCTTTCAAAAGCCAATAGAATAAAAGGGAGTAGCACAGCTAAGGAAAAGGGGGAAAAAATGGCGGACTGCGTTGTTTGGTGACCCCCGTGAAATGGTCGTTCGACCCCAAATGGCGTCCCGACCCACAGATTGAGAACCACTGATCTAACTAAACACTGTTTACTGTTTATGCAAGCGTGCCACTGCTAGTACAGTTCCAGATTCCAGCTATAGGATTCTTCCCAGCCTATTTAGACAGAACTATGGAACCTTATGTGCCGGAGTGGTAAACTGCTTACATTTTACAAAAATAAGCAAAGAGTTAAAACTCCTCCTTATGGGGAGGTAAGGTGGAAAGTTAACAGAACGAGAGAGAAATATCAAGAGCTAACATGAATTAGTCTATTTTTGGATTGTTTGTTTGTAGCATTTTAAGAACTGTTTCCCATAGCAATGTTCAAATTATTACATGATCAATCCCATGCATGATCCACGAGAAACAAGAAATCTCTAGCAAACAGATACATAATGTAGAGTCAGAATCCCAACGCGGATGCATGCATTTGAGGTTTCAATTAGCAAGGGAATCTGCATATAAAACTTATTTCTCATGCTACAATAAAAGAGTTTTGAATCGGGATTAACTTCGGATATCCCCATAATCCTCCCTTTTCCTCCACTGCCAACCCCACTCCACATTTCAAACAGATTCATTCTTACGTTGGTTGTGCCAAGCAGCCAGGAGCTATAATATTGCAACTCTTCTCATTAGTGTGCAGGCTTGTGAGCTCCACCATGTTGACCATCACATCACTTGTATGACCTGGTAACTTGGGAAGTATAGAGAGAATCTTTTCTGCTAAGTTGTCACCATGATGCCCAACAGCTCCTGGGGAAAAAAACAAAACAAAAATCACCCCAAAAATCACGTATCTCTCTCGTGCAGTGGAATATTTCCTAAATAATAATCTGATCTCAACGGATTACAAAGGAAATCATTTTACAAATGGTTTTTAAAAACAATTCCGCTGTAACCGTAAATAAAATACGAAAAAATAAAACAATAAATCTCAGAGGAAAGAATAAAAGAAGCAGAGCTTCTCTTTGTTCCATCTTATATCCCAGGAAAACTGACATGGGATTATTTTAGTTTTTTTTTTTCCCAAGCTTTCTACTTTTCAGGCCCGAATTGCTATTTCTCCATCTTCCCCCATCCCAAGGCCAGATTTACTTTCAGAATATCGGAGCTGGATGGCCTGGAGAGACCCTAGAAATGGGATCTTCTTCTGTCTGTTTCATTTATTGATGAATTTAATTGATTTATTTATGAATTAGACCAGGGGTAGGCAACCTTGGCTCTTTTATGACTCGTGGACTTCCACTCCCAGAATTCCTGAGCCAGCCATGCTGAGGGAAAAGGGAGAGGTTTCCAAGCTGAGCCATTCTGGCTCAAGAATTCTGGGAATTGAAGTCCACGAGTCATAAAAGAGCCAAGGTTGCCTATCCCGGAATTAAGACAGTGGATATTGATATTTGACCATTTTAACAGTTTTGTGAAGGGGTTCTTTGTACCTGATATTAACTGCATATGCCATCTAGAGTCTAGCCGGTATCAAATAAATGTTTAGATCCAAATATAAGTTGATATAGGCCCATTGTTGTCATGACAGTCATGAAATCCCAACCTGCTCCAAACAGAATTAAAATCTGTATAGAGTTTTCAGCAGCAGAGTTGGTGAAATATGGTACTAAGTGTATGTTTTCCTTGGTATGGTCCTGAAGAGATTAAGTATTTTCAACGTTCTTCTCCTCTTTTAACCTTCATGACTAGCATACCTAAAGTCATGAGTAGCATACCTAAGGGAACATTTCTCTGTTCTTCTCTCACATTTTAAGTGCTGCCAAAAAAACAACTGCTGGAAGCAATTAGTTCATGCCATTAGAAAGGGAAAGGAAAAAACAACACACAAAGGACAAAAACGCAAATGCAAAATCCTATATAAGAAACAAGCAAAAGATGATGATCATCTGCCAAACAAGATTGATTGAATCGGGACTTTCAAACCACTTGAGCAACAACAGTTATTAAAACTTACTTCCTCAGTACAGCATAAAAAGGAACACAAACAAGATCATCGCCCTCTGATCTCACTGTATCCAGAATAAATATATTTTCTGAGAAGGAGGATCAAACTTTATGAGGGAAATTACATTTGACACAGTAGCTCGACAATGCTTATCAAAATTATAGGCAGTAACCTCCATTTTTAAGATGCAACTATGCTACAGGCCCCTCATCTAGACAAACAGTGTTTTATCACTGGAACAGGCTGGATTTAGGAAAGATAAATCTACTGAAGGTCAAGAAAATATTTTATATCACTTGAGAAAGAAATCCACCCAAGGCTTTAAAATTCCATTTCATGTAACTTTTGATTTAGTCTCCAGAGACAATCTATGAAAAAGAGAAATTGGCAGCACTTACATATGTTGTATATAGTATGTTTAGGTGTGTGTCATGTATGTGTTTCACTTTGAGAGCGGGCAATTTAATTTCATTTTTGATGTGTGCCTTTGTATTCACAGTAAAAAAATGACAATAAAGGTTATCTTTCTTATCTTATCTTATTTTATCTTACCCCTGACAAGAAATTCTTACTATAGATGTATAAATTTTATAGTAACCCTGGTATGAAATTCAGATGTGATTCCTATAGCCAACTAAGTGATCCAATTTCTGTAACATAGGAAAGATAATTCCTTGTACTATTTTGATTTAATGTCTATAAAATTACAGAGATATGACATATTAATCTTTTTTAAAGAGCTCCACTTCCCTAAGCTATCTAAGAGACATATTTTGACATTTCTGCACAAATGATTTGGTCATTCTATCATGGTCAATTATTGGTTTGAGAAGAGCATTAAAAACCGTGACCAATATTGCAAAGATCCAAAATTGCTAATGCAGTAAATTACGGTATCAAAAATTTAAAAAGTTCTGACAGAAATATCTGCTAATGCCCTACCAGAGGATTTAAATAGTATTTACTGACATGAGGGTAACTTTGACTCATCAACAATTATATTTAAAATGTATTGGACTTTCAAAAATACGTATTTGAAAAGATGAACATCAGATTTCCTTTGCTGGAAGTTTAAGAAATTAGGTTCATTGACCCATATGTTATAATCATGTGATTTTATAGAGTATCATGCAGTACAGGCAATCCTCAACTTACGACAATTGAGCCCAAAATTCCTGTTGTTAAGTGAGACAGTTGTTCAGTAAGTTATGCCATTTTACAATCTTTCTTACCACAGTGAACAACTGCAGCTGTTAATTTAGTAACATGGTTAAGTAAACCTGGTTTTCCCAGTGACTTTGCTTGTCAGAAAGTCACAAAAGGGGATCACGTGACCCTGGGACACGGCAATGGTGGATGGCTAAAAGAATTATACCGAGAAAATATTATAGTGACATTCCAGATGTTAATGGCTTTCAGAAACATACAGTAGTGGCCAAAATTGTGGAAACCTTTTGGGAAAAGTGTACAGTAGAAATGCCACCTTTTGTTAAGTTTCCACCCATTTTTCTTCTAATTTCTTTATAACTGTAGCCTTGTTCACTTAATAATACTATTTTACACCGCTTTCTGGCCGACCAGTCAACTCTTTGCACCATTCCTTTAGTTTTATTACGTTTTACAAGCTCACTAAATGAAAGAACCCCAAAAAAACCCAACCAACTTGATAGCCATCACATAACACACTGACAAATGTCCTCCTTTCAGCTCCAATACAGGACATCAATCACTGAAGCCTACTGTGATCTGATTGGCTCATTGCCAAAACAAGATGACACCTAATTGGCTCTCTAAACACTCATGCTCATTGGCTACAATCAGGTGAAAGAAAGCTACCTGAGATCAACCTGAGCAAGTTGTTTCCTTTTTCTGCTTATTTGGCTATAGCTTTTCATAGAATATGGTACAGATAATTGAACAAACTTTGTTGCATTACATTCTTGATTAAATTATCTTTCCATTGATGTATAATTTTATGGTACTACTCCAAAAAAATAAAAGTGGTGTTATTAGCCATCAAAAAATACACTTTTCCCAAAAGGTTTCCACAATTTTGCCCACTACTGTATGATCAATATTTTCTACTAATCAAAGGATGAACCAGCAAGTATGAAACAGATTTTGAAACTTTATAATATTTTGTATCAATCATATTATGAGGAACAGTTGACTAACAACAGCTCATTTAGTGACTGTTCAAAGTTACGACGGCACTGGAAAGTCACTTAAAACCTTTTTTTCACATGACTGTAGCAGCATCCCTGGGGTCACGTGATCAAAACTGGGACACTTGGCAACTGGCCTGTATTTATGGCGTTTGCAGTGTCCCGGGGTCATGTGATCCCCTTTTGCGACCTTCTGATAAGCAAAGTCAAAGGAGAAGCCATATTCACATAAAAACTGTGTTACTAACATAACTGCAGTGATTCAGTTAACTGTGGCAAGGAAAATCGTAAAATGGGGGCAAAACTTACTTAACTGTCTCACTTAGCAACATGAATTTTGGGCTCAATTGTAGTAATAAGTTGAGGACTACCTGTAATGTAAACAGAAGTTTTGTGTCATACTTTTGAATTTTTTTTCATAATCTTTTAAGTTTATTTATTTAGTGCAGGGGTAGGCCACCTTGGCTCTTTTATGACTCATGGACTTCAACTCCCAGAATTCCTGAGCCAGCATGGCTGAGCATGGAAACCTCTCCCTTTCCCCTCACCATGGCTGGCTCAGGAATTCTGGGAGTTGAAGTCCACGAGTCATAAAAGAGCCAAGGTTGCCTACCCGATTTAGTGTATGATATGGCTTTTAAGTTTTTTTTTTCTTTCAGTTTAAGTATTGCTTTGTTAATTGTATGTGGGATTTTTTTTAATTTTTATTTTTCTTTTTTCTCTTTACAAACAACAAAATACAAAGTACATTTTTTCTTTTTTCTTAACAATACTATGTCCTATATCTGCTTGCCATTTCTTTATTCTAATTTATAAATACAATTTATCTTTTTTTTAAAAAAAAAAGGTTCTGGCTCTTATTATTAATGGCAACAAATTAGTGCCGGACAAACATTTGATGATTTAGGGATAATATTCCATTCATTTGGATGGAGAAATGTTAATTTAGATTACATATAACAGAGAAGTGCTACGGTTATCGTAACTTTTTCTATATTGAGGGAAGACATTCCATTCCTTACTTCATTCAAGACTAAGGCATGGTTATTATACAATAGGCAAATAAGTTCCAACTTTTTTTTTCAGAGGGGGAGCAATCAAAATTGTTGAGCTACCAAATTTATTTAGAAAATAAACATATAGCACGCAACTTAAATCAGTAACTTCAGGTAATTATACAAGGAACCCAAAAACCAATTAAAAATAAAGCAAAGGAAATGTACAATTAAGGCAATCATGATAGAATACAAGAGATAAGACATATCACAAACCACTCATGCCCCCAAAACGTTCATATGAGACTCCACTAGCAACCTGGGTCTAATGCTTGAGGCTCATGTCCTTTTGGAAGGCCCACAGGCTCAGAGCCATCCAACTGTGTTTCCAATGGAGTCCTAAGACTGGATGCCCAGATATAGATCACTATTTTTATTATGTTTAGTACAACTTGCCTGGTTGCCCTATAACAGTGGTGCCGAACCTATGGCACGGGTGCCAGAGGCGGCACTCAGAGCCTTCTCTGTGGGCACGTGCACCGTCGCCCTAGTCGTAGGCCTTCAGCTGGGTTTTATAAAACCTTTTTGCTTTAGACCTCCGCCATGTGCAAAAAAAAAAAAAAAAGGTTCAGTCAATTTCAACTTCTCGCTGGGAAATAAAAGATCTTGCAAAGTTGGAATTCATTGATTGAACTTTTGAGTCCCACCCAGTCTGCCATTACCACCGCAGCCATGCCCACCCAATTGCCCACACCCACCCAATTGGCAATGCCCAGCCAATGGGCCACACCCACCTGACACTCAACGATGTATAAGTGGGTTTTGAGTTGCAGTTTGGGCACTCAAAAAGGTTCGCCACCACTGCCCTATAAAGAAGAGAATGTCTGTTCTTCATAGGAACGCAAATATTAAAGATGCACATTTACTTATTTTTATCCCATCTTTATATTTTTATAAATAACTCAGAAACAGCGAACATACCCGTAGTACCTCTTCAGCTGTCAGCTGTCAGCAATTCAAGAGTGTTTTCTTTAGGCCAGCTCGACAATATTTTTAAATAAACATCTGGGTTCTCACCTGTCAAATCTAATGTCCGATCCACAAAAACGATAGAAGCTTTATTGGGTGCGTTTTTTCTCCTGACTTTGGCCTGGGAAAAATTTGCCAGATCCCCTGCAATAACCTTGCTCAGCGGTCCGAGGGCAAAGCATTCCTCCCGGACACCAAGATACTCGAAGAAGGCGTTGAGATCAGACACCAGCGACCTGATGGCAAGCTGCAACTCGGAAGGCAGAGCGGAGAAGTCCACATCGCTCAGGTGAGTAATTTTTTTCTTCTCCGGCCGCGCACGATTGATCTGGGCCAGGTCCTCCTCCATCAGAGGGAAAAGCCTGGAAAAGGCAGGCGTCACGAAGAGGTGGGGCACGACCACGGGGGCCAGAAACAAAGCGGCATGGTGCACCTCCGCCGTGTAGTTCATGTTGCCCATCCACTGGCAAAGCTTCTCTTCAAACTGTTCGAAGACGACCAGGCTGGAGCTTTCGGTCTCGGGCCCGGTGGGGGGAGTGTTGTAGGCCTGCAAGTGGACCGTGTGGCTGACCCCAGTGAAAACCACACAGTACTGGAAGCCGCTGAGGCTCACAATGTCGCGAATGGTGTCCACCGTCCGGCCTTTCAGCAAGGTGCTGACCACAAAGACTGCCTTGGGTTGCTTGGGGCCCCCGGACTCGAAGCTGGAGAACTCCTTGACGTTGAGGGCGCCGGCTTGCAAGAGCTGCCCCATTCCGCCCCAGGTCCAGTGGAGGCTTTCCGCGCAAGCCGAGTCCATGAACACCACCGCCCGCTTCACCTTCGACAACACCTGCGCCCACCCTCGCTGGCAGAAAGCCGGCCCCCCAGCTGGGGGTTTAGGAGGGGCGGAGGCGGCACACATCGCGCTGTTCCCCCCAAACCCTTGGAAACCCCGCTTCAGTCCTCCAAAGGGCGGCAGTTCACACGGTCTGTCTCCGGGGATGCGATTAAGCCGGGCGAAGAAGCCCTCCGACCTCCACAGCTGGGGGAAACTTATGACTGGGGGCCACCGGGGGGGGAAGGAGCTGGCCGAGATCAACCGTGGAAAAGAGGCCGCGCTGGAATCCGGGATTCCCCTCCGTCTCGGGATATCAACCGATCCCAGCCCGGAGAAGCCACGGCATCACCTGCCACAGCGCCCACCCATGCCTCTTCGCAAGGCGGGCGCGGAAAGATGACGTCCTTTTTTAGGCGCCCGACGCTGATTGGCCGCCTAAGGGTGAGCCGAGGACGCGGACTCCGACGTCGGAAGTTTGGAGCGCAGGAGGTTAACCCTTCAATTTGCGAGGGGCTGGAAAAGATTGTAAGCTGGACGGCGCGAATGAGGTTTTAGGTCCGGGGTCTTCAAACTGGGCCCTTTTATGACTCGTGGACTTCAACTCCCAGAATTCCTCAGCCAGGCACGCGTGCCTGGCTGAGGAATTCTGGGAGTTGAAGTCCACAGGTCATAAAAGGGCCCAGTTTGAAGATCCCTGTTTTAGATGCGGGTCATGCGCAGCACATTATCCTTTCTCTCTGGTCTGTTTTGAGCCCTTTTTCCCCCCTATCCCAGGGGTAGGCAACCTTGGCTCTTTTATGACTCGTGGACTTCAACTCCTAGACTTCCTGAGCCAGCCATGCTGAGGAGAAAGGGAGAGGTTTTCATGCTGAGCCCTGGTCTCCTGTTTTCTAGCTTGGTGCCTTAATCACTAAACCAGAGGTAGGCAACCTTGGCTCTTTTATGACTCGTGGACTTCAACTCCCAGAATTCCTGAGCCACCATGGCTCAGCTTGGAAACTCCCTTTCTCCTCAGCATAGCTGGCTCAAGAATTCTGGGAGTTGAAGTCCACGAGTCATAAAAGAGCCAAGGTTGCCTACCCCTGCCCTATCCCTTTATAACCCTCTGCTTTCTTAATCTGAATTCATAGTCTGGTGGTTATCTAAAATTTAGCACAACATCGAATACCTAATTGCTTTCCTATGGTTATGATGGTCCAGCGGTGCTAACAATATCCCATGATTGCTTGTGTCTGAATATGGGATGAATGTCATCATTGTATTACAGATTCAATATAGGTAGAATTGTCATTACTCAGTATTACAAAAGAAGGAGTCCTTCATTTCTGTGAAAATGATTTTAATAGATAAAAGAATTTATTTTACTTATTTTGTTAGTTATATCCCAGCTCCAAAACACTGACTGACAAAACTGTTGAAAATATTACATAACAAAAATGACATCTGGAGATTCCAGAATTTTAAAATATTTAAAATACATTTATGAGTTTTCCCAACTCATAAATTTGCAATTGTGCAAATTAGATAACAATGTGAAAGTATACATCTTTATAGAACAGAAAATATTACAAGTAACAAATGCTGAATACTTACCATGTTAAAGAGACATGAAATTTAGACGTATTGTCTGAACTGCCTAGATGGCTGTGAGCTAAATATATGCACGTTAAAGAACAAATATGATCATCATAGCTCCAAATCTTTCAGACAAACTTCATGCTATTACAAAAGCACTTGTGATGTGTGTAGTCTGAGATTAAATGTTGCTAGCATTTCTTAGCTATTTCTAACTGAACTTCAACT